CTGCGGGCTTCAGCCAGGCCCAGGGGGACTCCCCAGCACTAGCCCTACACATAGATGGCCTCCCTAATCCTCACAGAAGCCCTGGAGAAAGGCACCCTTGTTGTCTAGCTCTGGACCGTGGGAGGCTAAGTGACTACTTCACCTTCAGCTTGGACTGATTAGATAGAGTAGCCCAGATTCAAGTCCAGTCAGGGGTCAAGACTGCACCTTCCGCCAATTCCTCCCCACTTCTCTTTGTGGCTACTCAGTGGCCAGGGTTGCTGGCCCTTCTGGGTGGGGGGGTGTGGGGCGGAGGGGGCTCTAAGGGCCTTGAAAGCTTTAGGCAACACTCTCTCCATCCCCTTCCTTGGGGGTCTAAAGGTCTTTCCTCTGTTTCACTTTGCATGGCTCACTCCTCAGCTTCCATCACCATGGTCCCACCAGGTATCCTGAAGCAGCAGCTGAGACCCCACATCTAGCGCAGGTCAGCACTCCTCCTCCCCCGCACCCTGCACAGCAGGATTGAAGGAGGCTTCAGGGCTTCTATGACCCAACTAGTCTGCTTCAGGGACTCTAGCATACATTTTATATTTTTGTGCAAGTAAATTGGCTTTCTCTCACACCATCTCTACATTCTCCTCCATAATTTATGACTGCGCTGGCAACTCTTTGCTCCTTAATCACCCTGACTTCTGGCTCTAAAACTGTGCCAACTGTACTCTTTCCATTTTAAAAAGGAACCACTTGTTTGTTTTATATTTATTACTTTATATTTCATTTATTATCCTAAAGCTACATATGAGACCTTTAGTTCCATAAGATGCCTGAGAAACATGAGTGCTGTTTATTCTTTGGCAAGATGCTAAAAATTTCTAGGGACTCAGAATTACAATGGAGAAAAGAAATGTCATGGACATTTTTTGCACTTGGAAAGTGTTTTCAGCTTTTGTTATAGCCTCAAGATTTATACCTTTGGATAAACAAACCATGGTACATTAACATGATGCATCACCATATGGCTATTTGAAATTACAGGCACAAGATCCATGGTCTTACACACAAATGAGCACATGGAAACACCTTTGGTATCAAATGCACAGTAAGAAATCACTGAGGCATAGGTTAGACTGTGGTGATAAAAATTAACAAATAATTATTTTGAGAAATATAAAAGGATGGATTTTTGGATAGCTTTGTATTCTATAAAAAAGCATATTTGGATATAAATAGATAAGGTCCATACACAGAAAAAATTCAACTTTTGCTGTCTCTGTCTTAAATCAGACAGTAATTCTCAACTAGTGTTACTGCTTTCTTGTAGATGCATGAAGTTAATAAAAAGGTAGCCTCCCCCAACCATGCCCTAAACACAGTTTTGCTCTGGTGGGTTTTAGAGACCCCATCAGGATGCTCAAGAGTGAAGAAGTGCTACTAGAATGTCTTTTCTCCACTACATTAGGCTTACTTGCTTTTTCATAATGGACTATCTTGATGGACTTCCAAAGCCAATAATAAACTCTCTTACAGGAGTAGATGGTTAAGCTAGGATGCTCAATTTGTGTCATGTTTAGGACATGTCCTAATTTATAGGATGTGGCTTATGCCACCCTTCCTGGTCGGTGATCCTTCTTATTGGACCATTTCCTATGCTCCTAACTAGTGTGTAAACCCCTGGCTGTCAGTTTCCTGTGGCTGCTGTAACAAAATACCACAGACCCTGTGGCTTATGCCAGAAATGTATTATCTCACAGTTCTTGAGGCTAGAGCAGAAATGGAGGAGTCAGCAGAGCTGGTTCCACTGGAGGCTCTGAGGGAGGGACTATTCCCAGCCTTTCCTGGCTTCTGGTGGTTGCTAGCAAGCCTCGATGTTCCTCGGCATCACTCTAATCTCTGCCTCCATCTTCACCTGGCATTCTCCTCTATGTCTGTCTCTATGTCAAAGATTCCCTCTTCTGGTCACAGGGTTATGGCCCATTCTTATCCAGTATGACTTCATTTTAACTTGATTACACCTCCAAAGGCCCTACATCCAAATAAGGTCACAGGCATAGGTACCATGAGTTAGGACTTGAACATGTCTTTTTGGGGACTCAGTTCAACTCACAACATCCAGCAAGGCCAAGGCTACATTTCACTGTGCTCGTTTGTTCATTTACTCATTCATCCAACATGATTAAGGGAGAACCTCTTATGTGAAGAGCCCTGATCGTGACCCTGGGGCAATGGCAGACTTTCCCCAGAATCAGGAATAGGGCAGAGTCTCTCCCCTCTTAGAACTTACATTCTAATGGAGGAGATCAACTATCAACAGAGAATTAAACACAAAGTCCACATTTCAGGTGATGAGTGGTGTTGAGGAGAAAATAAAACAGGGAAATGGGGCGGAGAGTGACGGGCAAGGTTGGGGCATACCTCAGAATCACCACCCTGTGTCTTTCTTTGTAGAAGTTTGTAGTTAAATGAGAGGGCCAAGGATCAAATAAGTAGATAAATCAATATTGCAGGACAACTATGGTCAATGTTTGGAGGACTAGAACATGGACTTGGCCAAGCCAGGGAGGTCCAAGCATAGGGCCCTGAAACCTGACATAACAGAACTAATAGGGATGCCATGTGTTTCCCCCGCAACCCCATGCTGTCACTCTTTGCTCTAAATGGTGCCCAGGATTTCTCTGTGATGTGCCAAGCATTTCCAACTCAACTTTGAGTTTCAGGAAATGCTCTTAGATACTTGGCTTTAGCATTAACAGTTTCTAGACACAAAGTCCCATATTAAACATTATGAATGCCAACCCTTAATACATCATTTAAAATGTTAAAAGCATCGTTTGCAAAACTGTTCTCCCATTCTGAAGGTTGTCTGTTTACTCTGTTGATAGTTTCTTTTGCATCTGACAAAAATCTAATATCTAGTATCTATAAGGAACTTAAATTTACAAAAAAAAACATTAAAAAGTGCACAAAGAACATGAACAGACACCTTTCTAAAGCAGATATACTTATGGCCAACAAGCATATGAATAAAACATCACTGATTATTAGAGAAATGAAAATCAAATCCACAATGAGATACCATTTCACACCAGTCAGAATGGCTATTATCAAAAAGTCAAAAAACAGCAGATGCTGATGAGGTTGCAGAAAAAAAAAGGAGCATGCATACACTGTTGGTGGGAGTATAAATTACTTCAACCATTGTGGAAGACAGTGTGGTGATTCCTCAAAGAGCTAAAAACAGAAATATCATTCAAACCCAGCAATTCCATTACTGGGTATATACCCAAAGGAAAAGAAATCATTCTACCATAAAGACATATGCATATGTATGTTCACTGCAGCAGGATTCACAGTAGCAAAGATGGAATTAACCTAAATGCCTATCAGTGGCAGACTGGATAAAGAAAACATGGTATGTATACATCATGGAATACTATGCAGCCACAAAAAAGAATAAGATAATGTCCTTTGCAGAAACATGAATGGAGCTGGAGGCCATTATCCTTAGCAAACTAACACAGAAACAGAAAACCAATACTGCATGTTCTCACTTATAAATAGGAGCTAAGTGATGAGAACACATGGACACACAGAAGGGAACAATAGACACTGAAATCGTCAGAGGGTGAAGAGTGGGAAGAGGGAGAGGATCCGGAAAACTGAGGATCAGGAAAACCCAATAGGGGGTATTAGGCTTAATAACTGGGTGATGAAATAATCTGTACAACGAACAGCCATTACACAATTTACCTATATAACAAACCTGTAGGTGAACTTAAAATGAAAGTTAAATAATAATAATAATAGTAATAAAAGGAAAGGAAAAAATATTAAAATCAAACAAGCAACAAGTGAGCCCTGAATATTTGTTTTATCCTTGCACAGATCATGCCATGATCATCACTAGACCCTCCCTTCTCAAAGTGTGGAAGCCCAAGGGACAGCCGCATGGGCCTCACCTGGAGCTTGCTAGACATGCAGGCTCTCAGGCCCTGCCCTGACCTACTAAAACAGAATCTGCATTTTTACCAAGATCCCTACTGTTGTGCTTGCTCATTACAGATTGAGAAGGGCTATCTCAGGGTCACCTTATGACTACTCTAAATTCCTCTTTGTAACAGACACAGCAAATTCTGCACAGAAACGGGGCATGCATTTACATAGATAAGGAGACCTAGAGAGTCATCTTCGCATGCTCACTGGAGTTTTAGAACAATTTTCACCTCTTTAAAAATTAGAGACTCGGAGCCTATTGATGAGTTAAGGGTATATGTTTTATTGCATATATAAGTACTTTGAGGTCAGTAGCGAAAAGTTCATATAGTACTTTTTTTGAATGTCAATCAACATCTTTCCACCCTGAAAGAGTTAATGAACAAATGTACAGCCAAGCAGGCCTGAGAACCAAGCCCAGTTCCCAGCAGCCCCATTCCACTGAAGTCAAAATAAGACAAATTTTGACTACCTAAAGACTCCCTATTATTTTAGATGGGTAACGTGATACATGGATTTGGGCTTTTTTCTTTGTAATTTCCTTTTCTAGTTTAGAACCTGCATTTCAGTTTTATAGCAAACCACACTATTGGAGTGATGAAATCATAAAGAACACCTGCACTCACAATAAGACATTGTCAACAGGTATGCATTTGGTCATTCATCAGTTATTGGGCAACCCATTGGGTCTGTCATGGCTTGTCTCCGTATTTCAGATGTCACTCATAACAAAATAAATTAGCCCATTTTATAAACATTTTGTGACCCTATCCCCAAATGCTTTCAGATATCCCCATCGTGCTAGAACACTAGTCATTACAATCGATTGCAGAAATCATTACCAAGCCAAAGTCCACCACTCTAAAAGAAGATTACAAAAGTCTCATGCCTCCTTGTAAAGCTCATCACAATGTATAATTTCTCAATCTCCCAGAACCTGGCACACAGTCAGCTTAAATAATGCTCACCAAATACAACAGTCTCGCAAGAGCTCTTAAATCCAAGCTTAGAATATACCAGATTTTAGATACCATGAAAGATGGTGTTGTTTCTCGATCCACAGGACGGTGAACATATATCCTTCCATTCTCATGATCTTCTAGAGAAAACAAACCAATCTCTGGATTCATCCACACCAGGTCCACTGATTAGATACATTAGTGACATATTATCAGACATATTATTGAACAGCTGGAAGAAGGAAAATGGAAAGAAGAGAAAAGGAGGATGAGAATAAGCCACTATGATAATGAAATATCAAGGCTAAGAATCAATGGCATCTTTAAGAAATTATACCCAGCAATGGCACATCTGAGAATTTATGCCAAAGAAATAAACAGATAGGCAGAGATGGAGGAATGATGGTGTGGGCTGCAGTTTGGTCTGTAATAGTGAAAATTTGGAAATAGCATAAATGTTCATTGACAGGAAAAACATAATCGAATGATACTCCCTACATATAGCATGGGATACTCTGTAGCCTTTAAAGATGTATCTACACTGCCACGGAAAGACAGGTAGGACACATCATTAAGCAAGAAAGGCAAGCAGAACAACACAGCAAGTGTAATTCATTTCTCTGATGCAGATTCACATCAGAGAATCTACAGAGAAATATCCGGAACTGCACATACCAATTTGTTAATATCGATTATCCCTTGAAGAAAAGAGAAGTAGTGATCACACAGCTAACATTTAGAAAGAGCTTAGAATGAGCAGGCCAACAATATGCCTTGCTTGCCTTAACCTATTTAATCTTTAAAACATCTCTCTGAAATGTAGGCAATATCATTGACCCCATTGTGCAGATGAGGACACATTAAGAATCTCTAACCCAGCAAGGATGTTGTGCAGTAGGTATATGAACCCACTCACTCACCCTGACTCTTAGGAGTATATACTTTTAACCACTGAGACTTGAAAACTTTCTGTATTCTTTATGTTTTTTTTACAGTAGGCATCCACCATTTCCATAAATATTGCAAAAATACAAGATATTTTTAATTTTTTCTAAGAATCATAGAATGTCACAACTATAGCAGAGCTTAATCAGTACATAATTCAAAGGCCCATTGGTACCAGGAAGGTAGTGGAAATAAACAACCTGGGCCTGGGGTAAAGATTCTGCCATTCCAATATCATGTGACTTCTTCAAGGGGCTGCTTGCCCTCAGCATGAGGGAGGCAATGTGGAGTGGTGAAGACTGTAGTATTCTGAGTAACTGAAGCCCCACCTAATTGTTGTCATGTGGAAATGTGGGTTTTAAGTGGCCAGAACTTCCAATTTAAAAAAAATCTCAAGGAGGGTAAAATTTTTAATACAATCTCCCTATTTTTAAATAATATATATTTTTTAAAAGCCTCTGCATGGGCCAAATAAAGCAGACCTGTCAGTTGGAGTTAACCACCCTGTTGCTGTATGTGATTCTCATCAGACACTCACATGGAGAAGTGACTTACTCGAAGTCACATACCTAGGCAGAGGTAGAATAAGTTCTAGAACCCAGGCAACCTGAACCCCAGGCCAGTGCTCCTTTTGCTCTGCTTCACTTCCTGGCCTCACTAGCACACAGGTTTTCAAGACAGTCTTCCTGGCCAAAGGGGTGTGCTTACTCAGAGGGCATGATGGGGTCATTCCTTACGAGTAGGCACCTTACCTCACCAATTAGTTTGGGAAAGGGTCCTGGGTCTTCTTCCTCCAGCTCCAAGGTGGTGATGACCCATCTTCTCTTGGATCACCATAGAGTCTGGTAGCTCTTTCCCTGGAAATGATAGTGACAATGATGACAAAAAGGATGGCAGTGATGCTCACAGCCAGGACTGATCACACCCTTACTTCATATACAGGCCCTGGGCTGACACTTGGCCTGCATTCTCTCCTCATCCCCACAACAGTCACCTAAGTTTGGAAAATGCAAGTGCCTGTCCTCTTAATAGCTCTAGAGTCATCTCTAACCATGGGGGTAGATGTCACCCAATGATTTTACGTGGTTCTTGGGATAATTTTAGGAGCTCTCTAGACATAGTGTTAAAGATCACTGCTATGTGCCAATGCTTGTCCTATAGTAGACATGCAAATCGTTGTTGAGAAAGTTTTCCCATTTCCATTTATCTCCCAATCTTTCTGATTAGGTGCTAATAGACCTTTAATGCATCTCTGTCCATGAATATTCCTTTTAACAAATGTGCAGACATGTACACAAAGAGAAAGAGAGTGACTTAGACTCAGATCTTGAGCTCAGATATTTGTCAGGTAAGAGAATATATGAAATTTAAAGCACTGTTTTATTTGCATTATATATTTATACAGTTGCCATCCATTACAAGTGAAACTGGTTTTAGCCACATTAACTTTATTAACAAAAATGCAAGTTCTTTTTTTAAAAAATTACTTTATGATAAAATAAATTGATCAAGAGAACAATACCAAGTAAATAATCCCAAAGTGGCATGAGGATATGGCATAACCCCACAATGGATGCATGACTGCTGCAACGCAAAATATTAAGTCCAATATATTTTCATTCCATTAAGAAGAAAATGATGTGGACAAACCGCCAAGCTGGTGCCGTACAGTTGAATTTTGATGTTCGCAGGCTGCCCATATTCTAATTAGACATAAAAGCATCATCTGCAACTCTCTGGCAGTCCCTCAAGATTCTAAAAGGCCACATGTTGTTACTATTTTCTTTTCTGCAAACCAAACATTGGCAGGGCACTGAAGAACTCCAAACTGCAATTCTGTCTCTAAGTCAAGTGTAGAGACTGATTTTATATATTAAGAAACTGACTTCCAAACCTCACTTTTGTTTGCTTAGTAAGATCATCTTCCCCTTGTTGGACGCTGTTAACAATACTAACCTTAAAATGATAACTACTAGAGAATATACTTATCAGAATCACATAGACACTGCCTGGAGTTGCACAAATAGAGAATCACAAATGATAAAAAAGAACTTTTGCATTTAGTTTTGGTAAATGTAATTTCTTATCCTCTACATCTTAATTCATGATTGCCACTTATCTTCTCTAACTCTAGGAGAAATAACCAAAAGAATTCTGATTTATTATTCGAAATGGCGGGGAGACATTTAAAACCATAAAACACTACTGTGAATTAACAAAAGTAAGAAGTAGAACTGTATTCAGGATGAGCACAGATGAATTTAGTACACATGTAAATAACACCAAACGTTAGTTGGCAATGGGGTTTAAGTGAGTTTTTCTTTTGTCTTTGCCCCTTATTTCTAAGACATTATTTACCTTAATTAATAAAACAATAAACATACACTTTATATTTACATAATAGATTACAGCTGTAATTACTGATTTATAATTTATATCTCAACAATCCTTTCCCTTCCTCCAAAAAATACATGTACAAGACTGTTGAAATAGAAAGACATAAATCGGCCAGAGATAGTAGCTCACACCTGTAATCCCAGCACTTTGGCAGGCCAAGGCGGGTGAATCACCTGAGGTCAGGAGTTTGAGACCAGCCTGGCCAACATGGTAAAACCTCATCTCTATTAAAAATACAAAAATTAGCCAGGCATGGTGGCACACACTTATAATCCCAGCTACTCAGGAGGCTGAGACAGGAGAATTGCTTGAACCCGGGAAGTGGAGGTTACAGTGAGCCCAGATTGCACCAGTGTACTCCAGCCTGGGCAACACAGTGAGACTCTGTCTGAAAAAAAAAAAAAGAAAGAAAAGAAAAGAAAGAGATAAGTCCTCAATGTATGGTTAGAACCAGCAGCAAACAAAAGTGTGGGAGTGCGGAGTGAGAGAGAAAGTGTGCACACAGGGTGACTTGGATAAAGCAGATGGAGCACAAAGTATAAATAATTGGTGAATTTTCATACAGGGTATTTTGGAATTCTTTGTATTTTCCTTAAATCTTATAAGTTTTATATTAAAACAAAAGGTTATCAAAAAAGACAATTTCAGGAACTAACATTGGGTATTTAACTTAGCACTAAGATCCCTGCCAATTACAATAAAAAGGGAAAGTCTATCTTTAAAAATTGAACATATTTAATAAAACCTTTTCTTGTTATATAGTCTTCCTATTTAAAAGAAAATTTGCTAGCAAAACGCTTTAAGCATACAGAATGACATGATGCCCATCACCAAGTTCTATCAAACCTTAATACTTTTACCCTATTTGCTTCAAAGTGTTGAGATGTAAATAGTTACAGATAAAACTGAAATTTCCTATGTAGCTCTCTCTCATCTCACTTTTCTCTCAGAACTAACTTTTACCCTAAATTATATGTAGCATCCCAGTGCATGTTTTTAAACCTTCACAATAGGGATCTGTGTATAGAGATATGGCTTTATATTCATAACAATGTGTAATTGTTATGGTTTTAGATTGGACTTTTAAATAATGGTTCACAGTAAGCACCATCCCATAACTTATTTTTGTTACTTATCTTTCTTTTCATTTTGAGGGAGGACACCTCAGTTCTAGTTCATTCATTTTCATTGCTATAGAGCATTTAACTATATGAATTGGCAAAACTCTATTTATCTATTCTTCTAGTGATGATCTTCTAGGTTGGTTCCAGTTTTCCATTACCAAAAATGCTTTGGTAATAAAAATCCATGTATATATGGAAAGTCTCACCGCCTTTTATGCTAAAAACCCTCAAGAAACTCGGTATTGATGGAACGTATCTCAAAATAATAAAAGCTATTTACGACAAACCAACAGCCAATATCATACTGAATGGGTAAAAACTGGAAGCATTCCCTTTGAAATCTGGCACTAGACAAGGATGCCCCCTCTCACCACTCCTATTCAATATAGTACTGGAAGTTCTAGCCAGAGTAATCAGGCAAGAAAAAGAAATAAAGCGTATTCAAATAGGAAAGGAGGAAGCCAAATTGTCTCTATTTGCAGACGACATGATAGTATATCTAGAAGACCCCATCGTCTCAGCCCAAAAACTCCTGAAACTGATAAGCAACTTCAGCAAAGTCTCAGGATATAAAATCAATGTGCAAAAATCACAAACATTCCTATACACCAATAACAGACTTAAAGAGAGCCAAATCAAGAACGAACTGCCATTCACAATTGCTACAAAGAGAATAAAATACCTAGGAATACAACTAACAAGGAATGTAAAGGACCTCTTCAAAAACTACAAACCACTGCTCAACGAAATAAGAGAGGACACAAACAGATGGAGAAACATTCCATGTTCATGGTTAGGAAGAATCAATATTGTGAAAATGGCCATACTGCCCAAAGTAATTTACAGATTCAACGCTATCCCCATCAAGCTACCAATGACCTTCTTCACAGAACTGGAAAAAACCACCTTAAACTTCATATGGAACCAAAAGAGAGCCCGCATAACCAAGTCAATCCTAAATAAAACGAACACAGCAGGAGGCATCACACTACCAGACTTCAAACTGTACTACAAGGCTACAGTAATCAAAACAGCATGGTACTGGTACCAAAACAGAGATATAGACCAATGGAACAGAACAGAGGCATCAGAGGCAACACAACATATCTACAACCATACAATCTTTGATAAACCTGACAAAAACAAGCAATAGGGAAAGGATTCCCTGTTTAATAAATGGTATTGGGAAAACTGGCTAGCCATGTGCAGAAAGCAGAAACTGGACCTCTTCCTGACACCTTATCCTAAAATTAACTCCAGATGGATTAAAGACTTAAACACAAGACCTGGCACCATAAAAGCCCTAGAAGAAAATCTAGGCAAACTATCCAGGACATAGGAGTAGGCAAGGACTTCATGAACAAAACACCAAAAGCATTGGCAACAAAAGTCAAAATAGACAAATGGGACCTAATGATACTCCACAGCTTCTGCACGGCAAAAGAAACAGTCACTAGAGTGAATCGGCAACCAACAGAATGGGAAAAAAATTTTTGCAGTTTACCCATCTGACAAAGGGCTGATATCCAGAATTTACAAAGAACTCAAACAGATTTACAAGAAAAAACAAACAAGCCCATTCAAAAATGGGCAAAGGATATATACAGAAAACTTTACAAAAGAAGACATACATGAGGCCAACAAACATATGAAAAAATGCTCATCATCACTGGCCATTAGAGAAATGCAAATCAAAACTACATTGAGATACCACCTTGTCCTCCCAAAGTGCTGGGATTACAGGCGTGAGCCACTGCGCCCTGCCTCTTTTTTTTTTTTAACAGACCCCACTTTTACTTGAAAGCACAACCAACAAATAGTGATGATTCACATCAGGTTATCTGATACATGATTCTTTGATGATGAACAAAGTGAATCTTTCACTTCAAGAAAATCAGTCAATGCTCAGTATCTGTTCCCAATGATAAATGTAAGCTTTCAAGCAAAAATCCGAATTTTAGAAAACTTGCGTCTGCCAATAGGAGCGTGAAAGCTTCATAATAAGTGAAGATTTTTATGATAATAGCAATAGTGTTTTTTTTAATTTTATAGGCTCAAATATGTCCGCATTGGAAATGCCTGCATAACTCAATGAGCCAATGCCTTCCTAATGATCAACATACCATGTTCTAAAATCAAGTGCAGGTGAAAGAGTCATCTAGAGTGCAAGAGAGATGGTGGATTTTAATGGAATGGTGTAGGTAAAGTTCATTGACATAGTATCAGATTCCACATTGCAAATAACTGTTAAGACATTACAATGTGTCGAATTTTGGTATAATATCAAAGAAAAATATCCACAGTTATCTATTCCAGGTTATTAAAATATTCCTCCCTTTTCAAATATCTGTGTGAGGCCTGAATTTCTTCATAGACTTCAACCAAACAAATTCACAACTGACTGAAGGCAGAAGCAGAGAGGAGAATCCTGCTGTCTTCTTTGAAGCTGGACATTAAAAGTATTTGCAAAAATATATAGATAGTGCCACTTTTTCCACTAAATGAAATATTAAAAAATATGGAAGGTTTTCAAAATATGTTATTTTTATTATTTCCACTAAATGGAATATTGAAAAATATGGAAGATTTTCAAAATATGTTATTTTTATTAACATAGAATGTGTTTATTTTAGTTATGTCCAATGAATTGAGAAATATGTTTAACATTTTGCTGTTTTAATATATACCATGGTATCAGCAAATATAACCCACATAAGCTAAATCTCTAAGACTGACACCTAAATCATCAGGGACAGAGTCTCCACCCTGGTTGCCCCGTCTTGGTCAGAATATCTCCTTATTTAAGATCCATCACAATACAAGAGATCATGCATCTGAAAGTGGTTTCACGCAAATGAAGAACATTCTTCATATGTTCATTTCTTGTGGTCAGCCACTCTCATGGTGGGTGGGTGATATTATTGGGTTATATTGTTAGCATCAGGGCTAATTATAATATTTGCATCCTGGCCAGATTATATTTCTATCTATTTACCTGAAGGAGAAGAATGTTCAAACTCTTTGAATTCTGAAATCTCTAACTGACTTTTTTAGACAATGAATGCTTTTTGATTAATGTTGGTAGTTTTATATTAAAGGCCTACCCAGTGCATAATTTTTAAATGGAGAAAACTGTAGCTCTTGCAAAAGATAAAGAAATTAATTCTGTTTCTAAAACAGGTGTATTTCCAGGTGGCCAAGGTTATTAACAAGGACTATATTGAGGTTTCCTCTTCTCTCTGGGCCTCAGTTTCTCCTTCTATAAATTGAGGGTATGAGACAAGGTGTCTTTAAGGGCTCTTTCAACAGTAAAGCTCTGTAAATTCATTTGAATAAGATAACACATAAATGGCACAGTGATCGTCATGTAAGAGTTGGTTGAAGTGTTCAGAAAGAGGCTACAAATGGTGAATGTTTATACTTTGCCAAAATGCCTTAAATCTCACATCATTGTGTGTGTTTCATTTCTCCTCTCTTTATGCATGCCTTAGAAATTAACTTGAGATCTCTCATATGAGTGATGCAGGAAGACTAGAAATGGTTACATTTTCTGTAATGATTTTGTAAGTGCTCTTATTATATTTCTCATCTGTGCCAATTTTAGGCAGTCTGTCCAAAGAGGAAATCATTCAAAACATTTGCATGATGCTTTCTATAACATGGTGGGGAAGGGCGGGGGCAGGGTTCTTTCTAGATGCTTCCCTCAGCTGCCATGTCCACAAAACCACTTTATCAGAGAGGGCCAGGCAGACATATGATTGCATGGTCCACCCTGCACATCATTTGACAGATGGCTCTGGGTCTGGGGCTTGTAGCCAATATCATTCAGGCTGGCCTGGCTGGGCAGCCACGGCACCTTTTGGGACAAATTTTTCTGAGTGAATGAAGATGTAGTCTACGACTATACAGGATACTAAAGAGCTAAGAGGTCTATATAGAAATCAGTCCTTCCCAAAATGCTTGATATTTCATTTTTGAATGCAAGCTTTTATTCAAGCAGAATTCAGGTCCTAAAAATAAGCAGAATTTGGATCCAGGACTCTGTTCTGCAGGTTTATGTCTTTGATCCAGATTCAGTGACAAGTAATGACAAGCCATAGGAAAGAAGTTATTCTCCTCTCTTCGGTCATTTCCAGTCCTGAGAGCCGATGAGTCCTCAGCCTGGGCTGTGGCAGGCTTGAGACACCAGAGAGGAGAGAGGGTTTAAGACAATGAAAACGGACAGTGAGGAAAGACTCTTAAGCTTTCGTTCAGGGAAAATTTGGATTCTAGAAATCACAGAATTTCCTATCAGAGATTCCTGTAGAGATTCTTTTAATCTGTATCCAGTATCTCTCTTCTGGGTTTTAGACCAGGGAAGTCCCAGGAAGTCTCTGTGAAGATGAAAATATCCCTGCTATGCTGGCCAGTGTGATAGCCCCTAGCCACACGTGGCTAATTGGGACCCTGAAATGTGGCTGGTGCTAGTGTAGAACTGAATTTTAAATTTTGCTTAATTTTAATTAATTTAAATTGTCACATGTGACTAGAGGTCAATGCAGACAGTATAAACTAGTGGTTAAACATGTGGATTTGTAAATTTAGAAGACCTGAGTTTAAATCCTGTTCTATGGGCAACATGGCAAAACCCTGTGTCTACAAAATATATAAATATTAGCCAGCCATAGTGGCCCATGCTTGTAATTCCAGCTGCTTGAGAGGCTGAGGTGGAAGGAGAACATGAGTCTGGGAGGTGTAGGCTGCAGTGAGTCAAGATCATGTCACTGCACTCCAGCCTGGGTGGCAGGGTGAGACCCTGCAAAAAAAAAAATCTTGTTCTGCCTCTCACCAGCTGTGCGCTATGTGATGTGGAACAGGCAATTTACCCTCTGGAGTCTGCATTTCTTCATCGGTGCACACACATGCACACCCCCCACATTCGTAAATGTAGAAGTGTGTGTATATATTGGATCCTCACAACAGCCCAATCACGAAGGTACTATTATTATTCCTTTGTAACATACGACACTCGCACACAAAGTGCGTAGGATGGCAAGGGCTACGTGAGTATTTCCTCTTTTTCCAAGTCTCTGGGCAACATTTCCACTTGCATCTCCCACAGGCAACTCAAATCCTACATGTCCAAGGCTGATGACATAGCTTGTATCCTCACAAACCTGCCCATCTTCAGGGCTCCCTAACCACAAAAGACACTTACCGGCTCATTCCAAAGGTCATCCTTGATGCCTCTGCTTCCCTCATCCCCATGTCCAAGTTCTGTCAAGTTGACTTCCTAAGGCCAGCTCATCTCTGTCTCCACCCCAAACAGCTAAAGGTTCCACCACCTTGAGCACCCACAGGATTGGTCTCTCCCATTCATTCCATCCTTCTGTGGTGGGTTAAATTGTGTCCCTAAAAGCATATATTGAAGACCTAATCCCCAGTCCCTGTGAATGTGACCTTATTTGGAAATAGGCCCTTTGCAGATGTAACTCTTAACTGAATTACAGTTAAGATGTCATCACATTTGATTAGAGCATGCCCTAATCTAGTGAGCAGTGTCTCGATTGGAAAACACACACACAGACTGAAAGGGAGGATGCCATGTCCTGACAGGGGCAGAGACATGACGTAGCTGCAGGCCAAGAAACAGCTGGGATTGCCAGCAACCCAACAGAAGCCGGGGAGAGGCAGGGAGGGTCCTCCCAGTCTCAGATGGAATTTGGCCCTGCTGACACCTTGATTTCAAACTTCTGGCCTGTAAAACTGCAAGAGTACATTTCTCCTATTGTAAGCCAACATACCAGCTTATGGTTCGTTGTTTCAGCAGTCTGAGGACACTAATATATGTTCCTAACACATTCTCTGCACGGAAGCTTGGGTGACCTTTAAAAGCACAGATCTCATGCCCCTTTTCCCCCAGAGTTTTCACTTCTCTTAGGACAGAATCCAACCTGCTCTGTCCCCTGCTGACCCTTTCAGCTTCACCTCTGACTACACTATCTCCACCTTCTGCAACCCAGCAATTCTGTGGGTCTTGAGTGAAGGGCTGAAAGAATAATTCAGTCCGAGCATAAATGATAACAATTTATCAAAAGATAACTCAATTCAGAAGTTTCCAGACTGGTAACAATGCCACCACCATCAACAACAAGAAAATTGTAAGAGGCTTTTCTCATTGTACAGTTTCATTCTCTTAAAACTTTCCTCTTTGCCAGGCATGGTGGCTCATGCCTGTAATCGCAGCATTTTGGGAGGCTGAGGCAGGTGGATCACAAGGTCAGGTGTTCGATACCAGCCTGGACAACATGGTAAAACCCCATCTCTGCTAAAAATAAAAAATTGGCCAGGCGTAGTGGCAGGATCCTGTAATCCCAACTACTTGGGAGGCTGAGGCAGGAGAATTGCTTGAACCTGGGAGGTAGAAGTTGCAGTGAGCTGAGATCATAGCACTGTACTCCAGCCTGGGTGACAGAGCCAGACTCCATCTCAGGGAAAAAAAACAAAAAACAAAAAAAGTCCCTCCTCTCTGGTCTTTGAAGCCTGCCACAGCCCAAAGCTAAGGACATATGAGCTCTCAGGCCTGGAAATGATGAAAGGGGAGAAAAGTCCTCTTCGTTGGCTTGTCATGACTTGTCACTGAATTTGAAACAAAGACATAAACCTGAAGAACAGAATCCTGACTGGCTTCATGTCCAAATGACAAAGAAAGGGTGTGGGGATTTCAGAAGAAAACTGCTGTGGACACAACAGCAGAAATGGTATCAGCTTTTAAATATGGAGATCTGAACAGCGGGGAGGTGGGTATCTGTTATAGATGTCAGAGATGGCACTAAGCCAATTTGGTGGGTGGAGAATGGAAGGCAATGGAAAGGAATGTGTTACTTTTAGCTGATCTGAAAATTATTGAGCACCTCCTGGCTGTAAAGCTTTTTGTGAGTTAAATGTCCAGCATTCTGATTGCTGTAAACTTCTTATATCTATTAAATCATGTTATCTTCATCCGTCTTGATTCTCTGGAATACATAAAGCCACTGTCATCAATCACTGAGGTACAATCCACAGTGCCATCTCCACTGCCCACCCCCACTCAACACACCCTCAGAAGTCAATTTGCTTTGGAACTGCACTAATACAGCAGAGGGAAGAGAATTCAGGTCTATTTCCTGATGAGACTCATTGTGGGTAGGAGCAGGAGCGAGGGAAGGTTGGGGACAGGATTTGATTTAAACTATATTCAAATCCATGCAAACGTGGGCTATTAAAAAGGGCTTCTACAAAGTATTGGAGATCAAACTAATGTGTTGTCTGATTAAGGACACTCATAGCTCTTGACACAGCAAAATGTGACCAAGAAAATTCTCCAAACCCCAAGCAACTGGTACCCAACAATGTATATTCACTTTCAGACAGGGATTTCCCCCTATTTTATTTATTCCCAGTGCCTGGCTCAAAGCAGGTGTCCAGTAAATAGTTTTAGCATTAGCTCTGAGTATAGCCAACCATTTTCACTGTGATTAGAAAAACAGACACAGACATAAGAGCACATTGACTGGGCCATTACTGTACTGTGAATCTAATAGCAGACAGCGGCTCTCTAAGAGAAGATGATGTTTATTTGGGAAAGGACATTGCAGTGGGAATATGTGTGCCATGGTAAACGATGTGCACAGTCAAGGCAGTAAAGGAGGATAAAGGTTTTTAAAGGGAAAAATGAGGAGGATTATATCACTGTTTTGAAATAATTATCTTTGGCTACAAAGATTAATAACAAGGATGACACCGATCTGAGTTTGCACAACATTTGCTGAGAAGATTTCTTTGAAAAAGTATTTTTTGTGTAAGGTTTCAATGGCCTTTGTGCAGTTTTGTTATTTTTGCAGAACTTTGTGATTTTTAGTTATCAAGCACACAAATGTGAGAATCCCCTTTTCTTAGCCTTGTGTCTATATATCGGGGTTTGTGCGCATATGTGTGTGTGTTTCAACATAAGGAACTCCATTTTGATTCTGACAACTTATGCAGTACCAAGGGCTTTTACGCATTTTCTCATTTATACTCACAACCACTGGGTCAGGGAAAGTCCATTATTAGCTCCACTTTCAGGTGAAGAAAAATAGGCTTAACAAGGTTATGTTAAAACTCCTAACACCCAGGTACACTTCCAGATCAGCTCAACCTGAACCTTTGGGAGCAAACCCAGGCACTGAGATCCCTTGATGCTCCCCGGGTGAGCTCAGCTTGAGCCAACGTGAGGACCGAGGTTAAGCTGGCCTAGGTCCCCAGCTGACTGTGAAGGAGCCTGGGTCAGGACGCCAAGCAGCCCAGTCCAGAGGTCACAGTCACTGACCGCTGTGCTGCTTCCTGTCCTCAGCTGATACTGAAAGAAAGAAATGGTTCCCTCTTCCTACCTACAGAAAGCCAGTGAAGCAGATCATGACCAACAAACACATGCAACGTTACCTCTATCCACTGTAGGTACAAACAGAGCAAGGACCGTGTTTCAAATGCTGTCTCCACTAGTTTGTATTCCCATATAAACAGTGGCAGTTGGGGGCAGTGGATTTAATCCTTCCATCCCAAAGCGTTTGCTCAAATTGCTTTGATGCAGACAACTGAGATTTCCTCAATCTTATGTGAAGTTTGAATAGAAGTATCAGAGACCAGCCTGGCTAACATGGTGAAACCCTGTCTCTAATAAAAATACAAAAACTAGCCTGGTATGGTGGCATGTGCCTGTAGTCCCAGCTACTCAGGAAGCTGAGGCAAAAGGATTGATTGAACCCAGAAGGAAGAGGTTGCAGTGCTCTGAGATGTCGCCACTGCACTCTAGCCCGGACGACAATGAGACCCTCTCTCAAAAAAAAAAAAAAAAATTATGTGTGTTGTCTAGGTGAGGTGACTCAGGCCCATAATCCCAGCACTTTGGAAGACTGAGGTGGATGAATCACTTGAGCTTAGAAGTTTGAGACCAGCCTAGGCAACATGGTGAGAATCCATCTTTACAAAAACTACAAAAATTAGCCAGGTGTGGTGATGAGTGAATGTAGTCCCAGCTACTTTGAGGCTGAAGTGGGAGGATCACTTGAGCCTGGGAAGTTGAGGCTGCAGTGAGCCTTGATCATGCCACTGCACTCCAGCCTGGGTAATGAAGCCAGACACTGTCTCCAAAAAAGGGGAAACAACAAAAATGTGTGTGTTCATGTAATCTAAATAAAAATAGTGTGAGCTATATAAATTGGTTTTAAGCAAGTCCTTTAGTCTGCTCCCACTGTTGCCCCAAACAGTCTGGGACCTTTAACCTTTCTTTATATAAATCCGGAGCCCCCACTGCCTAAGCCGTTCTAAAGAGAGCCAGCCCCTGTCACAGAGTCACTCTCCCGCCCCTTAGCCTGGAAGAAGCAGGGCCAGCTTGCCCTTCACTTTCAGTTTCTGCACCTGAGCTCTAGGCTCCAGGCTTAGCTTACCTGCAGCAGCCACAGCAGCAGCACTAGAAGCAGCAGCAGCGACGGGTGCCTCCTGGCTCTCATGGCCACAAGAGAACACCCAAAACAGACTCAGAACGTGCAGCTGCTAGCCAGTCCTCCAAGCTGGTGGTCTCCCCGGAGCCACACACCCTCCTTCCCAGCCAGCGGCTTCTTCTCCGATGGTTTTCAGGTCACTTTGGCCCAGATAGTTTCATCCCAACTTGCTTCTTCCTTCTTCACTTTTCTTGCATTTATCAGAGTGGGGCGGGCTGCTTTGTAAGTCTCAACATCCGTTTGCCACAGGTAGAGTTCCTAGGAAGGGTGGGGTGGGAACTAAAGCCCGTATGCAAAAGACTGGCTGGGGGCTGACCTCAAGAACAACAGTTCAGCCAGAGGAAGTAAACAAGCCCCTGTCAGAAAGTAGAACTATTTGTTTCCTTGTTCATTCTACTTTCCAAATAGTTAATGACTATTTTCTATAACACTTATGCTCTTGAAACAAACAAACAAAAAAAAGAGAAAATGACAGCAAGAAATGATAATTTAAAGGGGGAAGGGATTTGGAAGAATAAAAGAAAAGAAAAAACAACTTGTACTGTCCAAAACACTAAAAATCTTTATTCCAACAAGGTCCCAGGGCTCTGGGGTTTGCAGATTATTTCTCCCAAAACTTCTTTTAAGCTCAGATTAATCTGCCTTTTAGAGTTTGGAAATAAAGTGGGAGGGGGACGAAATGGGAAAGAGCCTCCTTGTGGACAGAGATCTCTGTGGCGACTTGGGAGTCTTTGCATTAGAATTCTGAAAAAGGACAATTTGAGATTCTGTTATACCAATACTTAAGTTGGCAATAAGCAAGTTTTAAACCACAATCAGTAATACGTTAACCCCAATTAACTTAACATGACCTTGTTATCACATTACCTTGTTTAAAGTAGCAAACAGATAAAATAAAGGTAAGCTTTCTTTGCTTATTCTAGGCATTGGCTTAGGCAAGGATTTCATGACCCAGAATCCAAAAGCAAATGCAATATAAATGAAGATAAATAGCTGAGACCTAATTAAACTAAAGAGCTTTTGCCCGGCAAAAGGAACAGCCAGCAAAGTAAACAGACAATCCACAAAGTGGGAGAAAATCTTCACAATCTATACATCTGACAAAGGACTAATATCCAGAATCTACAAGAACTCAAACAGATTAGTAAGAAAAAAACAAAAAAATCCCATCAAAAAGTGGGCTAAGGACATAAATAGACAGTTCTCAAAAGAAGATATACAAATGGCCAAGAAATATGAAAAAATGCTCAGCATCAGGCCAGGCGCGGTGGCTCAAGCCTGTAATCCCACTGCTTTGGGAGGCTGAGGCGGGTGGATCACGAGGTCAGGATATCGAGACCATCCTGGTCAACATGGTGAAAACCCGTCTCTACTAAAATACAAAAATTAGCTGGGCACGGTGGCCTGTAATCCCAGCTACTCAGGAGGCTGAGGCAGGAGAATTGCCTGAACCCAGGAGGTGGAGGTTGCGGTGAGCTGAAATCGTGCCATTGCACTCCACCCTGGGTAACGAGCGAAACTCTGTCTCAAAAAAAGAAAAAAAGAAAAAGATACTTGCACCGGAATTTTTATAGCAGTATAACTCACAATTGCAAAATCATGGAACCAACTGAAATGCCCGTCAATCAACAAGTGGATAAAGAAACTGGGAGATATACATATATGTGATGGAATACTACTCAGCCATAAAAAGGAAAAAATTAACAGCATCGCAGTGACCTGGATGAGATTGGAGACTATTATTCCAAGTGAAGTAACTCAGGAATGGAACACCAAACATCGTATGTTCTCACTGATATGTGGGAGTTGAACTATGAGGACACAAAGGCATAAGAATGATACAATTGACTGTGGGGACTTGGGGGGAAGAGTGGGAGGAGGCAAGGGATAAAAGACTACAAATAGGGTGCATTGTATACTGCTCGGGTGACAGGTGCACCAAAACCTCACAAATCACCGCTAAAGAACTTATGTAACCAAATACCACCTGTACCCCAATAACTTATGGAAAAATAAAATTAAAAAATAAATTTAAAAGAGCATATCAAAAATAAAATATAAAATAAAAAATCTCCCAATAAAAAACTTTCTTTGTTTAACTGAACATTCATAGCTCTGAGATGCTGCTGAATATTTAAATTTGAATACTTTATTATTTTCATTGAAATTAATAGCATATTATTGAAAACAGGAAAAAATACAACTTTAAAGTCTATAGATATTTCCTGTGCATAAAGAGAAACTGAATACCTTGTGCTTACTTTCAAAGTGGATATTTCAATAATGATAGCCTATTGAAAAAAACCTAAGTTAGAATTACTAATTTAGAATATATAAGTCAGGTGATCTAACCCATGTTAAATATTTGTGGAAAAAACACACAGGTTGAGCACCCCCTGCTGCTAGAATAGTGCTGGGGACTAAAATACTCTTGTTAGAAAGGAGCCTCGCAAAGGTCTGTCTGGGAGGGGCTGGGGGCTGACAGTGAAGGATTCCATTTTCACATTCGTTTTAAGTTTAAAGAAATTGTTACTTTAAAATTAGCCAAGCCGAGCATGGTGGCGCACACCTGTAATCCCAGCTACTCAGGACGCTGAGGCAGGGGAATCACTTGAACCCAGGAGGCAGAGGTTGCAATGAGCTGAGATCGCACCATTGCACTCCAGCCTGGGCAACAAGAGTGAAACTCCACCTCAAAAATAAAAATGAATTGGTATTTTAATATATTAGAAACAACCAAGTTTTCAATGTTCTCAAGCATTTAAAATAACTGAGCAAAATACCAGATCCCCACACAGCAACCCTTCTTGCGTAGGCCATGGGGCCTTGAACTCAGCTAGTGATTCTGGGCATTGCCTGCTGCTCATCTTGGGTGACTCTGAGCTAGAAGATGTCCCACTCCCTTTCTATTCTGAGCATGTGATAACAGTGACAATAATCTGGTGCTCCTTTCTGTGTCCTTGGGAGTACAGTAATACTTTATAGCGACATGGTGGCAGCTCCCAGCTCCCTGTAAGCTGACAAGTGAAGAAATGAGATTGCTCTTGAGATAAAAATCACTGGATGATTGCAAGGGAGGTATGAGCTACAATTACTTACCCAGAATCAACCTTCTCATCTTTTGGAGGGCTGCCCCCACCCACCTCCAGTTCTCACTGTTCTTTTTTTAATAATGATGTATGCATCATGAGGCCATCCCCACCCGGCCTGGACTTCTGCTTGGACTGTGGTCTGGCTGGCCAGGCCCAATACCCAGCTGAAAGGAAGGAAACTGAGGTGGACAGCGGGCCTGAAGGAAGATAAACGCACTGGACTCTGCCTCCATTTGGCATTTTCCACATGGATCAAGTAAACAGCAGAGAAGTAAAGTGCTGGGCTTGAGCCTTCTTTCCTGTCTGGGGAGGTGAGAAGGCTGGTGTTCGATGCAATTCCCCTCCGAAGAGGTGAGCAAGCCGCAGTGAAAGGCTGAGAGGGTGGAGGGCAGCCTGTTACAGAGGATAGGCCTTAGACTCTCTCCGTGGTCTCTCTTTCTGTCACCAACACTGAGGGAGACAAAGCCTGGAAGAGGGAGGAAGCAGAGGTGTCTGATGGCAAAACACCACCATGCCCTAGGATCTCAGTGCTGGGTTGGAAGGTGAGGGGCTGCCCAAGCCTCCCCTGCCCACATACCCACCCGGGAGTCTAGCCCACCCAGGGCAGATGGAAGAGATTAGATTTCCATCAAGGTGGACATTGAAGTTTTGAGCTGCGCTGGTTTTACTAACTGACACAACTGGGTAATGAACTTCAGTTGTAACTGAGAGATTGAAATGGTTTGGGTAAAGACTCAGGTTAGGGAAGAATAACATGGCTCATGCTTATGAGTCAAGACCTTGCTATGTTCACTAACACAGAAATCATTCTGCAGCCAAACACTTCTGAATTCAAGGTCCCGTTTCTTCATTGTCACAAGAAAAGTTTAAGTTCTCAGAACATCCTTGAGAAGAGTTTTTTAAAATAATCAAGGAGAGTTCTGCTAGCAGTAGTGGTGAAGTAGCTCTAGCTCTGCTGTAGACATAACAGCTATTAACAAAATATAAAGCAGGGCTGGGCATGGTGGCTCACGCCTGTAATCCTAGTGAGGGGGGGGATCACCTGAGGTCAAGAGTTCAAGACCAGCCTGGCCAACATGGTGAAACCCCGTCTCTACTAAAAATACACACACACACACACACACACGCACACACAAATTAGCAGGGGGTGGTGGCAGGTGCCTGTAATCCCAGCTATTCCAGAGGCTAAGGCAGGAGAATCACTTGAATGCAGGAGGCAGAGGTTGCAGTGAGCTAAGGCACACCATTGCACTCCAGCCTGGGCAATAAGAGCAAAATGCTATCTCCAAAAAATATATAATAAAATATATAAAACAGCTACCCAGAGTGGAGGCCCTGGAGGGTGAGCACAGCAGGCAGAAGCTGAAGGGAGTCGAATGCCTGGAAGAGGCCATAGCTGGGACTGCTAGACGACTGGAGGGTTGGATGGAGCAGATGGAGCCAAGTGGCAACTGTCCAGTTGTGAAAGCAGGCATGCACGTATTCACTGTGAAGCTCTTTCCATTGTCCTGAAGTTTGAATTGTTTTGTTTTGTTTTGATACAGAGTCTCACGCTGTCACCCAGGCTGGAGTGCAGTGGTGCAATCTCAGCTCACTGCAACCTCCGCCTCCCGGGTTCAAGTGATTCTCCTGCCTCAGCGTCCCAAGTAGCTGGGACTATAGGTATGTGCCACCACACCTGGCTAATTTCTGTATTTTTAGTAAAGACGGAGTTTCACCGTGCTGGCTTGGCTGGTGTCGAACTCCTGACCTCAGGCGATCCACCTGCCTTGACCTCCCAAAGTGCTGGGATTCAGGCATGAGCCACCATGCCCAGTCTGAAAATTTTTATAATGCAACATTGGGAAAAAAACAAATGGTGAATTTGGCTCCATCAAGGAAAACTCCACCAGCGCTTCACTTCTCTGGTGTTTACTT